GTTTTTGACTCTTAGTGGTGTGGCCTGTTCTTCACAGCCTGATGCACCATGGTTACTCTGATTTAGTGGTATTTCACATAGTTCCTCAGAAGATGGAAATGATGAGAAGAAAAGACAAAGGACACAGACTAACATTTTGTGAAATAACCTTATGAAAGTCCTGAAGAACACTTTGGAAAATAAACATGCACTCTTTTTGTTTTCATAAAAGTGATAATGGCTTTGCAATGGGGGAATTTTTTTACAAGAGGATGGGAGGACATGGTAGATTAACAATATTGTGAAATAATCTGAAATAATACATACATAAATTCCTCATCTTTTATGAAGACCATAAAATATTGATGACAAAAGTTTTGACTTCAGCTATGCAGATGTAGATGACAACGCCTGTAATAAGATTCTTACAAGAGTCTTATGTTCACAGGAACTAGTGACATGATTATACTATTGCTTGAATGGAGACTAATATAATTTCTTTAAGTTTGCTTGGGTTTTTTAAATCTTATTCAATTGAGAGGTGGAAAGAAAACATGCTTTTTAATACTAATACTTGCACTAAACCACAAACAACCAACATGCAAATATATATATATAATATAATTATTTTTCAAAATGTACCAGACTTACAATCCTAGATCTTAGTCTTTTAGAAACTTAGAACCTTAATTACATTCATGGATATGATCTTAGTAAATTAAAGTAATTATGTCTTTTTTTAAAAAGCAGATGCATAGGAGCAAGTGAAGACTTACTAAAATCAGTGGGGGGAACCCCAAACCCAGTTGCACATCTAATCTTAGTTTACCTAATAGAAGTCAAAACACAGTGAGTCAAGCCCCTGCTCAGTGTAAAAGAGCACACCTTACTGGTGTGAATGGAGCTATGCTGGCTTACACGTACTGACACAGCAACCCAAGAGATGTAAAGGGAAATTCTGATCCTTCCATTCCAACAACTTGCATCAATCCAACTCACTGTCATATTGTGATTTCTGAAAATTTAACCATCTGGGGGAGGAATGTGAAAATACTGATTATTTGTTCTTGTCAGATGACTTGTTCAAAACACAGAAGTAAAATAAGTTGCAAAAACATTCTCCATATAAAGGAAATTTGTTTTGGAGAAATTAAGAAAGAGGAAGAAATAATTAGGCACCTAAGGATTTTTACTCAATGATATTCCAAAAGTAGTTTATGACTGCTTTTGTTCTCTTCAACAAATAACATTTAAATACTCCATACGACAGAGAAGCCTAAGGATGTTTCATCACAAAGTAGCTGATGCTGTGGGGTAACACAGTTCCTTGAGACATCAGAGCCCTCAGTTCAGCCTCTGCTGAATTCAGTGCATGGGCAGAAATTTGGGCTCTTCTGGCATATGTTTGAACTGCTGTGATGTGAGGATTCCTTCTCTACTCAATGACGTACAAACTGACGATGCAAAGTGAAACATTTGTCAGGATAAGAATCAGAGCACACATCACCTGATGGAAGGGCCAGGGCACCCTTAGAAGGCTGAGATGTGCTTGAGCCAAGGCATCTCCTGGCATTTATTTGGTAAGAGTCCTCAAGTAGCTGGATGAACTTAGCCTTTTATTTCCTCGGCTTCCACTACAGTGCACAAGCCCAAAACATTTTGAAATATCAAACCAGTTCATTTGACATTTTAAAAAAGAAGCATTTCAACATTGCGTTGAAAACATTTGCGAGTTTTGTTTCTACTCAGACTATTTGTCAAATAGTTTCAACCACTCTGAACCTTTTCTCAGCAGTAAATGTTATCCTGATTTCCCCCACTCCCTAGCTTTGCCTTTCAAATGGCTAAGCCACAACCCTACTGATACTTGGTTAAATTTTTGTTCTGTTTTATTTCAAATGGTAATTTGAAGAACAAGGCTTCCTGTAATCTGCAATGCAACAGCCTGCTTAGTCAACACCAACCCTGTGAATGCTTAGGAGAGCCCATGGTGTTTAGAAGGAAGCAGGATATGTAACATTCTGCTAATTGAATAGGACAGCTTTTATTACTAAGCAGCGTCTTTCCATTTCCCACTGAAGTCAAGATATTTACATACACCTAATGCTTCAATTTACAGGCTATAAACAGCCAAGCCATTGCAATGAAATTATTAATTGTTAGTGTATTTGCATGGAAATTATTAAGCAGTTAATAATTTGAAGGAAAGAGCAGCAGCTAATTTTGGCCTCACAAGACAATTTGTCCAATGACATATTTCCTAGGCCTCAGAAATAACAGACATAAAAAGACAGGTTTACACTGGTATAAGATGACTAAAATACAGAATTTTCAATAAGTTATTTCTGTATGTTGAGATGCATAATTTATATGAGCTGTAGTTGTAGACTTGAACAGACAGTAGAAAAGCATGCTGAAATGAAATGCCTGGATCATTCAGACCCACTGAAATGGACAACACAAGTTTCAAGGAATCTCTGTGATCTTTTAGTCAGTGTTTTCATTTAGAGACAGACCAGGAGGGCCAGTGTTGTACCATATTACAGCAGGCAAATTGCTCTAAAATTTATATTTTGGGTTATTATCCTGTTTTGAATGTGTTGAAAATGTAATGACATCAAAATATGCCTTCCAAGCTTAATTGAAATCTTAGAATGCAATGTATAAAAAAAAAGGCAGCCTCAATATAAATGATGACATAGGAGTATATATATATAGGCCATGTAACTAGATGGAAAGACAAATTAAAACTTATCCAGACTTAAATGTTCTCCTGACTTTAAGGGGAAAGTTTTGGTGGCTAAGCTTAAATATGAATAACTGCTTCTAAACACATAGCTGACTATTTCTGTCTTTTGCCAAATGTAAAATTATACCATGTACTACCTGTAGCAGAAATAACAGTGCATGCATTTTTGACTTGTAAACAGAAATAGCACTGATAGCTCTTTAAAGAAATAACCTATGTAAAACTATGAAAATTTTAAACCAAAACCTGTTTTTTCTGGGGAATAAATTAAATAATACCAAAGAGGAGGTCATCATTACAGGTGTGTGCTAAAGCCAAGTGAAATCAAAAGGCAATTTCACAGTATTCAAAGAACTGGGTATTTTGAATCCTAAAGTTAAGTAACAGTAGCAATTCCCTATCATCTGTCTAAGCCTAAATGCTTCACAGGGGTAAGGAAAGTACATTTGATCACATTTACTTTGTTAGTTACTATGCATTGACTTTTTTTTATGCTCAAATCCTATGATCTATCCCATCAGGGAATATTGCAGATATGAATTGTGCCTGGAAGTCACTGAAGAATACTTGAGAAAGGCTCATAAAATGTGATTCTACAAAGGCTCAGCCCCAAGTTACAGTCAACAGGCTTGGAGACCTCACCAGGGACTGCAAATGGGGAGGAAGACATTTTTATGACTGAACTGTCCAGAAACATTGTGATGTTTCTTTACACAAGTTCTGGACTAACACAAGGTCAGTGTGATCAGTCCAGAACTTCAGTGAGGCACACAGTCTTAGCTGTCTGTGGGATCAGGATCTGACATTGCCACTAGCATTTTCTACAGAAATTTACACTGCTATGGGTCCTCTAAAATCATTATTTAGAATATGCACTTTGAAAATAAAATTCAATTTGCTAACAAGTTTCAAGGGCCTGTTAGATACTCTCCTAAAGTTTCTATCTTCAAAGAGGAGAACACTAAAGTTCAAAGATTACAAAGAAAGGAAACAAGTTACATTTCAAACTACTTGTGAACGAAATTTAAAGCTTGTTGCTTTTAAGGTTTTCTTGTCATCATTCATTAACTCATTTGCTCATTCAAACCCTCAAGAGAGTAAAACTCAAATCCTGACAAAGTCACTACACCAAACATTATTTTAAATTTTGCATGTGCTGCTCAAAGCCTTGTGCTCAGAGCTACAGGAATATGTCTAATCTCAGAGTCAAACAGGGTGCAGCTCCTACCTTGACTGGGAACTGTTAGTAATACGAGCAAAAGACATTGCACTGCTGGTGCCAAAGCTTTGAACAAAATTACTTCCTTTAACACACCACCACCTTAATTATGTGCTGGAGAACATAAAGCAGGTCAGACAATTTGTACTGGGACATCATAATTCCATCAGTATAATGCTGACATTGCTAAAGATTTATGAACGGAATGTCGCAATTATTTTTTTAGTAAACATATCAAGTTTCACTAATGGGGGGGCTGGAAGTACTAATTAGCTTTTGTTTTGGGTGGGTTTTTTTGCAGTGTATCATATAAGATGTGGGGAGCAGAGGGTGGAAGGGAAGGATCTGTGACAAAAACAAGCACACACAATTTATGTATGGCCTGTAATTCAAGCAGATGTTCTTATATAGGGGCCGCAGGGATTAAAGCCTTTCTGCCCATAATTCTATTTGCTAACTACCTTCTCTCTGCACAAACCTTCCAGCCTATGACAGAATTTTGCTAAGCCACATCTCTTTAAAGGTGAAAAGGAGCAGCAGACAAACAATCTTAAAAATTTCTGTTGCTAAGTCTCAGGGTTTGGCAGTTTGACTGGTTTTAAGCAGCTGGGTGATTTTATTGGAATTATTATAACTGCATCCAACAACAGTGACCTTGGTTGGCAGAGTTTCCCTTGGATATCCATTCAAACCAGCACTGGACTACTGTTGGCACATATGCACTGGCACTGCAGAAAGAAATTTTTCTCATGCTAAGTCTGAATAATTGATATTTAAATAATATCTAGACACCCCCCCGTTAGTGACCATGCTCAAAGGGGTTTGTCAAGATAAATAGACAGCTCTAGAGAGAAAGAGGTAAAACCAGTTGAATGGTCAGGATTGTAATTCTATAATATGGCAATATCACACAATGATGGCAATACAGCAAGCTGGGACAGAACATTCCTGAATTAATGGTTTAACACTCACCTGCTGGACACACTGCCTCCAGAATAAAAGAATTGGTGGAAACATTGAAGAATTCTGAAATTTTCACTGACAATTATTTACCTGTATCTAAAGAAGACAGCTGCCCAAACCCATTTTCTCAGACACATCAGTGCAATTCCATCCTGACACCTCTGTGGTGACTCAGCGTTTGCACCAAGCAATATCCAAGCGTGTCTTCAGGAAAAATCTTTTGTCACCACTTGTAGGCACATCCAGGAGTTTCTAGCAAGGAAACATAATATACAAAGATAATTTTTGTAGCAAGTAACCGTTCAGGAACAGATCACTCTGTCTTCCTGCTCCTTCTTGAAAACCTGTCTGGTTCATCTCTAGCTGGGCTTAAAACAACAGCACAAGTATGGAAGGCGAAACAACCATGAGCTAATTCTTCTTATACCTTGTCATTCTTCACAAATGTAAAGATTGTAACAGTCTCTTAATGCTTGTAAATTAAGCTCTATCTATGTGGAGACAGGCAAAAAGGAAGTGGAACAGGTTTCAGTCCATGATCTGGAGCTGGAACGGAATTTTCACTGTCCTCTCTGTCATATTGTTAACTAGCTTAATACATTAAAAAATGATAAAAGATTATTCAAAACTTATCTTTTATTTTATAAAATAGCTGGTGTAAATTGTGGTTTAGGTGGATTTCATTAAAAAATCTAAATTCTGCCCCATCACCCTCTGCAAATACCTTAAAACATTAAAAATACATAATTTCAAGGACATCTTTACCTATTTTTACATGTAACAGACTGACACGATCTAGTTCAGGAATAGTTTGTATAATCATCTTTTACTGTGTTACAGCTTCATTAAAAGGTTGTTGATTCACAAGTGCTGTGGATCCTTAGCAGGATACACCTCAGTGCATTTCACTGTTTCTCAAACTATCTTTGAAATAAAGAACATAAGTCAAGAACATGATCCTGTAAATGTGACAGCTAAACATAGAATCCTTAAGGCTCTAAAAGACCTGTAAGATCATCAAGTCCAATTGTAAACCCAGCACCATGTTCAACATTAAACTATATTCCCAAGTGCCACATCCACATACCTTCTGAGCTCTGTAAAGTGGTAGGATAAATTTCTGATCTCAGAATAAAGATAAAAATTAAATCTTTATCGAGAGATTTGCTTTCAATTATTCTCATATTAGAGTGCTTCCAAAGAAATCTGGATAGCATCCAAATAGTTTGGGATCACTTATTTTCTTTGAAAAGGCTTTTAATATGATGTTGATCGTAGACACTCCCATCTTCTTGTGCTTCAAATATGTGACAGCAATGAAACCTTTTCTTTAATGCCAGCCAGCTGCAGCACCTGCTCTTGTGTTCACTTTTCATATTTCACTTGAGATTTGAAGCTTTGTATAACAGGGCATGTTAACTAATTGTAGTCTTCTTATTTAAGCTTTCGTCTTCACGACACTGAATATAAAATGGAGAATGTTACTGAATCCTCTGCTCAGGAGTATCAGTGTGAATAATGCACATACAGCAGGGCTTTTGTCCTATATCACTCTGCAACTGCCTTAGAGATTTTGCATACAAAAGGTGGAAAAACCCCAACAAATTATTCTATAAACAAAAATAAAATCATACTTATTTGTCATTGGGTAATATCACACATACTAATTCACTATTTTTTTTTTCAGCATGTCCAAAACAACTGATCATCAGAAGCTGCGTTTAGTCAAAAAAAGTAGCATCATCAGGATCTGACAGTGGAAGCTTCTGAGAATAAGACAGATGTTCAGAGATCACCACTCAGCTGTGAGATGTTCTTCAGTGACAAGTGGTGCCAAAGTAAAACCCTGCTTTCTTCATGATCTCAAGGGAGAAAGCAATCTTCAGAGTGGTTTAGTCTGAGTACTTTTTATCTTATCCATGTTTCTATTTTTTTTTCTAATCTTTACTTGCTTTTTCATCAGATATTAGGAGGATTATTTTTTGTCTGTGAAAGCTACACCTAAAATGACATTATGATGAAACTACAAGCCCATCTATTTTTGGTGGTATAAGGCAGAAACTATTTCCTTATTCAGTTGCACCGAATCCAGTTGTGCCTACAACAAAGCATTAGAAAATCTCAAATGTAGCATTTCTGTAGTATTTTCATAATTCTTTCATAATTATTTTTAAGCCCTTGCTTTAAAAATCCACACATCTTCAGTGAAAGAAAATGAGTGGGAGAAACAGATTTCTTCGTTTTTATATCAAAGACTAATAGTTTCCTCACACCACTTTTAAACACTTCATTGGTGAAGAGCACATCATGAGAGATTAAAACATAGGATAAAGACACAAACTGACATGTTGGAAGAGGGAACAGATGGTAACATGCCAACATTACTGGTAGGAACAAGAAATTCCAGAAGCGTAAGAGGAAGCAGCAATGCAAGGCACAGGAACAGCACCAAATGAAACTTATCTTCTGTGCAGCTTTAAAGACTATTACTTGCCTGGATCAAGGACTTGTGCCACCAGTGGCCTTGATAAGAAACATATGGATGCATTTTACAATGGTGTGAGGATGCGATTCTGGTATTATTAGATCAGTCGGCAGCGTTCCCCCAGGCAGTGGGCACATTGTGAGCATAATGGTATTAATTCTACTTCATTTGCCACAGCTTAGTTGTTTCCTTTGCATCAAAATCCTCATTATGAAGGGAGAGAGGTCAGAAAGTTTTCCAGTGAATTGAAGGTCCACTGTAAGCCATTTGGATGCACATTCCTAAATCACTGTTACAAAGGAGAAATTATTAAAAAACAACAGGTAACACAATGGCTTGTGAATATTTGTGCAAATGAAGGATTGCTCGTGAATGGAAGGTTGAAAGGAAAGAATCCAATCACATACATGGAGTATGAAGGATTGCTTTGGTGACAAAATCAAATCTCATTCTAAAAATCACATATGTGAGAAACAGATATTTCACCCATTTATAGTTGCTACACAAAGGGATTCTGAACTTTCTTCAACCTTTCCCATTCTCAGCTACATCTTTTTCCTAACTGAAAGGATTTTTGCACTCAAAAAAATCTATAATGCCTGCTGTGTACAGAGTTTGCAAAGATTTCTAATGAGCACAAACTCTTAAAACCCCTCTTCTTTTTTTAGATAAACATATTTGATCTTTCCAGTCATTATCATTTTAACTTGCAAAGTGACATTATGCCAAAAAGAAGGAATTCATAAATTAGTTCCAATTTAGAAAGTTTTCTTGTCATTGTATAAATGACAGATCTTTAAAAAGACGCCTTAAAATGAAATGCAATAAAAAAAAATTCACTTTTGTGTCAGGTTTTTCTTTTCTCGCTCTCTTTTTTTTTAAGACTGAAAGAATAAAACAATGTGCTATCAAAAAAGAAATGAGTGGTACAAAAAAATCACAAATGTGCATGGACAGAAAACTCATTTAAATTCTCAGATTGTTTAGGAAAGTTAAATTTAGTTGGGACAGTAACAAAATAAAATGTGTGCAGAAAACACTTTGCAAAGTTAAATTCACTTTTCAGCAGAAATTAATAAAGCAGGATTCACATCCTATTTCAAGCCCTGCTGGTGACTGGAGCTATTGATGTTTGGGATCAAACCTGCTCTCCCGAAGTCAACTAGAAATTTGCTAATTATGTTACTGAGCCAACATCACACCCATGCATTTTGTTTTTATTCTCTTTAGAGACTGCAAAATTTAGATGCAGAGTTGGGTTTGGCCTTCAAATAGCGTTAATGATTGGGAGCACTTGACTTGAATTCTTTGAGCAGAGTGTATTACCGTAATGAATTGATGATATATGCAGAAAAAGATCATGAGCACAAGAGATGCCAAGGACAAACAGACCAGAAGCTAATGGAACACTTCCCTCAGTGAAGGGGAGAAAACAAATTTAGGGTTGTGTGTGAAGATTTTCTACACTAGGAAAGGAAAGCATTCAAGTGAGACACCACTCCTGGGGCTCCTGTTCCTGAAGCAATTCTTGAGTGGATGCATTACTTTAGCTTGTTCTTATCCTAAAATGGGATTTATCAGGGGTCCCACATGCCTGTTCTGGACTTATGGCTGGCAAATTCATCAAAACACTTACCAATGTACTGCAATGGAACAACAACCACACAACCACTGACGCAGAGGAAACAATTTCCTGACATCATCTTGTTTCCTGCTAACTGTCCAGAGTTGCACACAATTCTTTCACTTTAAGATTTACCTGTCATCATAACATTTACTTCCCTGTTTAGTAAGTACATGTTTAGCTCTGTAATACTGACATTTTACTGCCCTGCTCTTTCACTTCTGGGTGTCTTTTCTGAAAGTTTAATAACTTCCAAACAAATAATTAAAATTAAGTTAATGAGAGCTCTGTTTAACACCTCAGGTTTGAGTAGTCACTTCTTAGTGAGATTCTATAACTATTTTTAGCTTCAGGTTTTAGGCAAAAGAATTTTAGATAGGAGACAGCTACTTTTTCTCGCTCAAGAAATAGTACTGTCTTGTATTGCCTGCATCACCACACTCCATGAAAGGCAAATAAATTAATTTCTGAGGCATTTTCACCTTTCAGCTCTGAAAGAAGTTTCAGCTGAAAAGCAAGTCTTTAGGCAGCTTAACAACAGCAATGTGCAGGTTAAAAAGTACATCTGTCAGAAGCCAGTAGATATCAAAATAGAATAAAATACTCTGGTGCTTGTATCACAAATAGGAACAAGGCTAAGAGAAAACCATTTGATGTGCAGACCTACTGCCCTAGTGCTGTCCATTTTAAAGCTAAATTGTCCAGCTAAAACAATAATGATTGCAGGACACAACTTACAAACCTTCTTCCCTAGTGGGGCAGAATTTGTTTTTCAATACCTTTTTTTTGGTAAGAGAAAGTTGAACACTGAAATTTTCTGGATGTAGTGCCAAAGTGTATTTCAGACGGCCACAAATGAATTGTTAATTCCTGAGGTGCATTTCTCCTGAGTGGTTCTTGGCTACAAGCAGGTTCCCTGGTTAGTTTGACCAAATGCAGAGGATCACTGCAGCCATGGCCTGGAAGTCCAGATTCCCCTTTCAGCATTGCACACGCAAGGGAAGACCAACAGCACTGGACAGGAATGCCATGGCACTGTGGGATCAGCTTCCAGAAAGTCAGTTCAGTTATTTCAACATTAACAACTGCCAAAGTATAAAGAGTTCAAAGCCTTTCATGGGCTGTAACTTCATTCTTCCATAGGAATGCATTCAGAGCATGCCTGACACCTCAAGCAACCAACATTATTTTGGGGAAAATTTGGATCTGAGTCTATCCAGTACAATTTCAAGGTACTGTAACTGCAGCTGATAGAGACTTCAACATGATTAGAATGATCACTATCCCCACATGCAAACTTTTCTGGTTTTCATTTTTACTCTTGTAGTAGACCTCCTTTTACTACTTTAATGCCTACGTTTAAGGCAGAAAGTGAAATGATATTTAGGATAATGTTTTAGTGGCTGTTTCACAATGTTTTTTATTGAAGCTGTAAAGCACTTGCATGCATAGAGAAAAGAAGATGCATTTTAGAAATAAAACTATTAAGTAACATTATCTTGCCATGGTTCATTCCCACTGGGATAGAAGAACCATTTGAAAAGCATAACTGAATTCAGCTGAAATATAATAAACTTTTTACCTCTATCTTATCCACCTTTTCAGCATTGCATGCTGATCAAGAAAGTAATGAAACCATGAGTGTTTATGTTTAGAAGCTTTTTTCTCATCATATGTTTTACAATACCTCCATATTTCCTCCCTACTACGTAAATTAGAGAATAAGTTGAGCATAACATCTTCCTCCTGGAAAAGAGGATGAACATATATGTTTCCATATCTAATTACCAATATACAGTTCACCAGCAGCAATCAACATCACAAATGGATGAAGATAGAGGAGAAATGAAAATGTGCCTTTGCATATCATGGCAAGAACAAATGGTCTCCAGGTAACAGAATGAAAAGGCTGCTTATATCCAGCAGAAATTCACAGAAATACACTCCAAAGCAAAATTTACAGAGACAACTTCATTGTCATTTTTCTGGGGGACAAACCCTGGATACTGTATATATTTCTTCTGGGAATGCAGATGCTGACAGGAACCATAGAGGTATGCCTATTAATTAGCTTGAAAAGATTGTTTATTGATTCTTTCCAAAGAATATAGAAACTGTCTTATTTAATGACTAAATATAGCTATAATAAATTCAATAAAAACATAAATACAAGATTATGAATAAAATTTACCACATAGTTAACTGAGAACTAAATTAGTATGCATTTTGAAATATAGGCCCCATATCCATTTTGTAAGTGACTGGGTCTATGAGTGAGCTGCAGACTCACTCATCAGTGACTCTGATCACTGATGATCAAAGATGCCTTTTGAA